GGCACGCGGCGCGTTCTGTTAGGCCCCCTGGCTGGCCGGTACAGTTTTATTTACCTGCTGCCGCGGCAGGTTCGGCTGATCGCGGCCCCCACTGGCTGCGGTTTGCCGTCTCGGGCCAATGGGGGCGGCGAGAAGTGGCGTGGGCGAGCGATGTGCTGGCCCAGGACGGCGAACCGCGGCCAGTAGAGGCCGCGATCGTCCGAACCTGCCGCGTCAGCAGGTAAATAAATCTGGCCCGGCCCGCCAGGGTGCTTACCCTGGCGAGCCGCGTGCCGAACATTGCCGACCCCTGTTTTATATACTGAAGACTGTTATGTCCCCCCTCAGTCTTCTCTTCTCCTGACTAAACAAACCTCGTTTTTTCAGTCACTCCTCGCACATGTCATGTTTTCTAGACCTTTAATCATTTTTGTTTTGGATTTTCTCTTTGGATTTTCTCCCATTTTGTCCACATCTTTCCTGAAGTGGGCTGCCCAGAACTGGACACAGTGCTCGCTCCAGTGCTGAGTAAAGTAGAAGAATTACTTCTCGTGCCTTGCTTGCAACACCACTGCTAGTGCATCCCAGAACGATGTTTGCTTTTTTTGCAGCAGTATTTCACTATTGACTCATATTTAGTTTGTGATACTTCGTTCGTATAAAGCAGGAAGCAAAATCCGCAACACTACAATTAGATACTGCTACTATAACGTACCATTCTGACACATCACTAAAGGCATTAGTTATTTTCTAGATACTTTGTGCAGCTGGAAATTGCACAAGAGCTCCTTTGGATATGTGATTTGGTGGGATGCAAATAAATCCAAATTGCTCTGGTTCCTTAGTCTGCTAGCTATGTTTCCTGTTTAATCATCGTACCTGTAATAAATATGTTCATTTCTTCCTTCTGGAAGATAAGCGTCTTCTATGTTTGGTACGGATTCATTGTATTCATTGAAAGTGAGGATTGACAGCCCATCAGAATGATGTCCTCTCTCCACAGAACAAGTACAGCGCAGGAGGTGGCCGGGGAGGCATCCCCCTATACTACCCCACCAGAGTGCCTCTGCTCTACCCTGGCAGCCCCACCTTCTAAAGCTGGGAGGGGAGCTCAGCCACCCAGGCCTAGCAAAGAATCATCACTTTTTGTGGGCCATGCTCTGTATCCCGGTACAGTTCCCATAGCCAGCCACCAGTCTTGAGCCTTACTTTTCAATCTGTCCTGACATTGGCTTAACGTGGGCTTTGGCTCTCATTGTTGAAACCCTCTTTTCTTTCTTCTCAGTTGAACTTTGATTTGGATCGTGGCGTGTTCCCTGTGGTGATCCAAGCCGTAGTGGATGAAGGGGATGGTAAGCTAGATGCTTTTTCATTGATTGGTTGTTTCTCCAAGCTCCTTGTAGGCTTTGTCTGCACTGTGAGCTCGCAGAGCTGAGTTCCCTTCTCACATACACATACACTAGCGCTCTTCAAGCTACCGTGAGCATATATAGCAGTGTAGCCACAGTAACACAAGGGGTATCAGTGGCCGCATGGCTGAGCCGTGCTGAGTACGCACCCACCAGTTTCAGGGGGGGTTGGACTCAGCACGACTCAGCCATGCCTCCACTTCCAGTACCCATACTTCTGCGGCTACCTGCTCTTTATACTTGTGCTAGCTCCAGCATGAGTATATGTACATAAGCAGGGGAATCACACCCTTGGCTTGCAATGTAGAGATAGCCATAGAGGGGCACTACCCCCAAACACGTGCTTCCTGCAGGGTAGGGCTTAGTGACTCCATGTGTTTCAAATGTTTCAGGAATATGACTTAAACATCCGTGGGAAAGGGGCCCAGGTAACACTCAAATCTGCCTTTTACGCTCAGATTTCATTTGGAGAGGAAGGATGGTCTTGTGGCTAAGGCACTGGCTAAGTCAGATCTTGGTTCAGTTCCTGGCTGTGCCACAGACTGTGGTGTGACCTGGGGCAAGTCCCTTCATCCCGCTGCACCTCCGTTCCCATCTGTAAAATGGGGATAGTAATATTTGCCCTTTGTGTGGTCAGACTGCAAGTCCTCTGGCTATGTGTATGTGCAGTGTCTAATACAGGCAGGCCCTGATCTGGGTGAAATCTTTAGGTCCTGTTATAATAACATTCATGTTTCCAAGCTGTTCAAATCACTGTTAAATCAAACTGTTTTTACAGTGAAACCTAACTTTGAATGTTGAAAGTCTCTGGATAGTTCAATGGGCAGCTGAATTCTTTCGGCCCTACTTGACAATCAGCCAGAGCAGCTTTTTATTTGTTGATTTTTAATACATTCTCCCATTTAAAAACATTCATTGCTTTTTTTTTGACGCAGGGCTGGCTAATAGATATAATGTCTAGACTGCCATTCATGTTGCATGAGGTTTGTTTCTCTGCAGGCTGTTTGTGTGGCTACCACTCCTTCTGAATGTCAGCAGTTAATGGGAGACATTTTGGTTACCTTTGCCCTAAATGCAGTCCTTTCCCTATTGAAGTCAATGAGGCCAGGATTTCACCCTAGCTTTTTTTAATAATGTCTTCCAAGGCGGAGACAATCAGATTATTTACAGTAACTCCATTTCCAGCACAAACACTGCAGCGTTGTGCTAGGGCATAAGAACCAGAAACATGAAACTGTCCAGAAACTGATGGCAAGCAAAACTAGTTGAGAAAAATCCCCAACTATGAACCAACATAAAGTTGAGCAATAAGGCATAAAACAGTATGAAGGAAAGGAGTTGTAAAATGTTTGCAGTTGTAATAATCTAAGGTGCTGTTAGTAACACTGGTAAAGAAGTTTGGTTTTTCTTATAATGAAAGACACTTTTACATCTGTCTGGGGAGTGCTTTGACAATATACTTGTATACTGCAGTGGTGCATACATATAAAAATGCCTATCGTGGCCTGATAAATAGAACAAAAAGAGATGGGGAATAAGGAAGCAAGCATACAGCTGTGTGCATACTGCAGTGTCTCTTAGTCAATAGTGCACTCTCGTTTGATTTAATAAACTCTGTAAATCTGTCCTAATAACCTAGACAAGCAATGGCTTTTAAATCCCCTCCTGGGAAAAACATGAACGCACACAGTAGATGACACTTCAGAGCGATCTGAGAAAATCTGATGTGCCCTTTTCTTTCCTTTTAATGAATGAAAGAGCTAGTCAGAGGTGTTCTGATTGCCTGGTAAATTATAGGCATGTGCATTAAATAAAATTGAACAGCAAATGGAAAGAGCAATCAGCCAAATGCTTTTTGTCCGAAAGCTGCCAGAAGGCGCCTCCTTTCTGTGAAGAACTGAGAGTATAAAGCTACTGGGCTGGAACGGCACTAAGTTTAAAAGCCTTAATGGAGGGGAGATTTCTGTGCAGTGTGTGACTGTTTAGTTCTGGCTTTGCAAGCTGCCTGAACGAACAAGCATAGTTTCCGTTTAGGTTCTCAGCTCTCTAACTTGGCTTTAAAATGGTTTATGAGAGAGCTGAAGTTAATTCCATTGCTCAGACTAGCATTTATCCTGGCTTGTTTGCAGAAAAATCTCCTGGAACTTGTTTCCCCCTCACTGATAGCAGGGAGGGATCAGCCCCCCATACACACACTGTTATCTTTGCCAACTATACTTTACCTGCTAAGACTCTCCGTGAGAGCTCGGTGTGTCCTCAGTCACTCTTGCAGAGACAGTCCATAGTTTCTCCTCCCACATGTTGCTTTTTTAAGCCAGAATCAAATGAATGGGTCACCTTGTCGTTTATGCCCTTTGGGGCTGCAAAGGAACTACTAAGCTCCCTTCCCTTGGGAAGCTGAGTCGTTTCCTTCTGCTGTTACTAGCCTGGGAGCTGGTCACTCAGAACGTTCCCTGCCTCCCTAGCTCGTCCCTCAGCATGTGTTTGTGTGAGTAGGATCAAAGGCAGTTATACCTCTTGTCTTGCCTCGTGACTCCTCCAGACTCTCATCCGAGGCTCTGCATGTACTTGCCGGTTAATCCTCCCAGAACCTCTGAGGTAGGGAAGTGTTATCCCCAATTTTCATAGGAGAAAACTGAGCCATCAAGGGGAAGTGGTCACAGGAATCAGTGTCAGTGCTGGGAGCAAGCTCAGGAATCATGACTCCTAAAACACGCTGTTTTTGCCTGGCTCCAGTGTGTTGATGGAGCCATGCGTACAGTGCTGGAAGCTTCATCGGTTGCTTTTGAGCTCTCCTGGAAGAATGAGGAGACCTCCAATTGGGAAGGGGCCAAACGTGATATCTGTTTTGGGGAAAGAGGACAGAAGGGGCCAGAGAATGAAACCAAAATGTTTGTGTCCGTACTTGATAAACTGCTAGTACAAATAATAAATGCATTGGGAATCCCTAGGACTAGAGTAAAATAAGGCAATAAACATTGAGGATTTGCCAGCTGTAGATAAACCAGCCTGATGTCTCTCTTTGCGAGGATAACAAGCTTAGGGAGTAAAAGAAGCCCAGCAGGCTTTTCACTCCCACTGCTTTGGTTCACTGGCGTCTGTAAAGGAGAAGCCGGATTGTATGGAACAACTGCGAGAGGTGCAGCTGGTAAAATGGATCTGAGTGGTCAGTGGTTCACAGGCTGTCTGCGGGGTGGAGGCGCCATTTGGCCCTACAGGGCTGTTCTCTGGGCCCAAGTGTTTACCATTCTCCAGGGGCTAATGTGGAGAAGCCACTAATTGAATTCCTGGACAGTATAAACTGGGAGAGCTCTTGACACTGCAGACGAAGATTAAAATGCAGCATGGGCCACTTAAAGCGGGAAATGGGATGGAATTCGACTTGTGTGCAGCAGTTGCATTCCCAGTCATAATAACCTGGGCTGTTTCAGTCTTCATGCTGAACCAATTCTCCCCAACACACTCCAAACCATAAGGGGATTGGCCTTACAGAGCAATAGTCATGAAATCTCTCCCCCCCCCGTCCCCCCGAAAATGGGGGTGAAAAGCATAACCCTCGTTCTATTCCCTCTGTGTGTGGTGGGCTTGGTGGTGCGGACCATGTTCAAGGTTTTAACCAATGTTCTCTCTTTCCAGTGGTGGTTGAAGTTACTGGCCATGCTCATGTCCTCCTGGCTGCATTTGAAAAGGTAAATGAGCCCTGCCATTCCGCTTCATTTCCTGTGTGCACATTGCCACATGGATGGAAGTGTTCATGGTACAGAATGTCTGTCTTTTGTTCTGTTTGCACAGCTCCTACCTAACGCAGTGGGCTCCTGGTCCAGGACTGGGGCTCCCAGACGCTACCATAATACGTAACATACAGGTGTATTCAGTACATAGAGTTGTGGTGGTCAACCAGCCAATTGTAGGCAACATCTCCTGGCCCCCTGAGGATTGGAATGATTCCAGCATCCAGGATGTTTAAATGCGGTGGTGTTTAGACAAAAGAAAGCTGTCATGGTAGTATGGTCAGAGCCTTAAGATCCGTCTGCAGGACCAGATCTGCTATATGACTCTTTGGTCTGAGACTAAATCCTGTTACAAACTGGTGCTATGTCATATGTGAAGACCAGGGCTCTCACAGTGTTTGGGAACATGGTAATAGACGCTTATTCCCACCCAGAGGGCAAGCCTAAACCATGGTATATTACAGGGAACTCTGCTGTATGGATAGGTCCTTGTATTGATTGCGTCTCCCCCTCTGGCAGGCAGATTCTGATAGCAGTACAGCTACTGCTGCTCCATGCTGCAGCTGTTAAGGCATCTTAGTGGGAATACCTAGAGGTTGTTCAGGGAGTGCAGTGATGCAAGCTGCGCTTGAGGGTGAGGCAAGAGGGGCTGGGAGAGCAATCGGAGAGAGCAGCATGTTTGCTTTTCTTGTGCCGAGCCATGGGGGGGCCCTCCGATGGGTGGAGAGAGCACAGCTGGGGGTGCCATCTGCCAGCTAGGGAACTGTTAGAACAAGGAAAAGGGCAGCTCTCGCCTCCTCTGGGAATTCCCTCCTGCCCCTTCTCTAAATTCTCCTGGAAGCAGGAAGAGCAAACTTGCTCTCTCCCAGTATATCTGGCCCTGCCCATACTGTGAATCGGGAGAGAGGCGGGCAGGTATTGAAGCCTGCGATGATCAGAGCCAGGCTGTTGCCTGCGGGAGAAAGTCCTCTAGGTGACCCTTTGGGACTATGACGAGATTACGGGAAGGATCAGACCCTTGTTCCATGTGAGACAAAAGTGAGTGATGTTGCATGGTGCCCGGTGAATTAACATCTGTAGCCGGAGCGTTCACCGTTCCCTGCTCCCCAAAGACCCTTCGTTATTCCTCTCGCTGCTGCCTTTGTGCCCTCTTGGCAGTAGCTAGTGCCAAATCCACTGCCAGTGTAATTTGTATGCAGGACAGTGGGAGGGATGGGGTTTGTCTCGCCACTATCCGCTTGAGAAGACCGAGCTCACCACTCTCGCATAGCGCCCAGCCTCCTGTGGTTACGGAGCTGGAGTCCTGAAATGAACCTGGCTCTGCATTCCTGGCATCATATTCTAGCACCATGTGGCCAGCCTTTATAATAAACCCTTCTTATAGAAATCTGTTCCCCGGGGCCTCCGGCTGATGGAGCAAGTTTTGTCTCCTGAGCTGTGAGAATTGGCACCTCACTGTGACTGATACCGGAAGGTGCAACATTCCATGGTGCATGTTAATTCTGTTAGAAATCATTAGTGCTGCTGTGATAGTTTCCATTTCAATAGCACTTTCTGCCCCAGCGAGTCCAACGCTCTGGATGCACAGTGACACCGACACTCAGCTCACTCTGGGAGAGAGGCAGCAGCTAGTACCCACGCGGCATGTTACCGCACGGTGGGAAGGAGCAGAAATTTAGCAATGATCTTGTCCCCCAACAAAGTGGCCCACGGGTTGCTTGCTTTCCAAGCAAGGCAGAAAGGATCTCAGGGATTTGAGCCCTCCTGGAATTTTCTCTGCTTCAGAAGATCCAAGGGCTGAACCTGTAATTCCAAGGAGTCTGGGTGCTTTTGACCTGATGCATAGAGCACCGAGATCTCCAGCTATTGTAATGTGGAGGTCCATGGGGTTTCGGCTGAAGGGGAAGCATGCCCAAGCGCACCTTCTGCCAGGTGGAGATGAGTGGCTCCCTAATATTCAGAGAGCAGAGCAAGGTGGTCAGCAAAGCTCAAAAGCACCTTAAGCTGCCTGGGCCATTGCATCAGTGGTGCTGCGCTCAGTCCAGTGCCCAGACCTCTTGAGTGCCCCAAGTTTGAGCACGAGGACTGAGAGTGCACCATCATTCCTCTTCACTGCCCAGCTGTCCTGTGCTTGCTAGCCCACCAGCTGGGCATCACCACCCTTGGTGCAGCCTGCTCCTGGATATTGGTGGTTTTTCTGGGCAGTCCTGAATGCCTCCTGCCAGACTTGGCTGCCAGACTGCTTCAGGGAGCATTGCACAGCAGCCCCTGCCTTCAGTCCAGCCAGCGTGGAATGGAGGATGGAGTCCCGGGGTGATAGAGAGTCTGTGATCACTGCATGGGGCTCCCCTCAAGATGTGGAGGGGCTGAGGGCCCAGCTGATCCTAGACTGGGGGTGGGACACACCCATGGCTCCTTCTCATAAACCATACCCCCGCCTCCCCCATCTTCCTGCCCCCATAGCTGGCCCTTGGTTTCCTGTGTCTTGTTGAATGTTATCTTAAAGGCTAAATGCAGACCAGCCCACCCCTATTGGGCCTGGGACACCTTCTTTGGGGAGCCTCCCACACCCTGACCATGTTATGAGGGGCCAGGTTACTTCCTTTATTTCCTTGTTTGGTTCCCTGTGTCCGGGGTTACTGGCGAGCGTGGAGAGTTATTCTTTGCCTGGTGTTTTGGGAGCACGGTGGTGGGGGAGTTGGCCTGATCCGTGGCCCTGTGTGAGGTGTTGCAGTGCAGGAGGGTTGAAAGAGGGTCAGGCTGGGGGCAGGTGGAAGGGGGGGGTGCAGTAAAGAGGAGTAGCTGGTTCCCTGTTTGCAGGCTGAGGAGCGGTGTTGCCTGCACCATGCCAGCAGGCATCTTGGTAGTGAGTGGCGCACTGTGGGAGCTGTACAATTTTAACATTCGGGTGTTTTATTGGTGGGGGTTCTTTGTCAGTCCATTCCCTGAGCAATGTGTATGTCCCCAGGGGCAGCCTTGGCCTCCCTCAGACTGCTTATGCAGCAGGCCGGGACTCTCGGTGGCCTTGCATGGAATTCACGTTGCTGGCTGATGCCATTCGGGTCCTGTCCAGCATTGGGCACAGAATGCAGTGGCAATTTCCGGAGCATGCTACCCACTGCTGAGCAAATGGAGGGAGCAGCTAGGATCCTTCACCAGAGGGCTAAGCAGCCAGGAATCTTGGTGGGAGACGGGGGAGAGTGTCAAGGGAGCCATGGAATCGGGATATGGTCCCTTGACTTTGCTTGATGGGATTGTGATGCATGTTTGTAACTTGAGAGAGCATCCTGCCGTGATTCTGTCATGGCTCTGAAACTGCTCGCAAGGCTGAGCTACCCCGCTGCAGTCTGAACAGAGAGCTTGTGAGGTGCAATGACCATTAAGGACTTTGGCATCATGGGCGGTGGGTATCGGAGGCCAGGGGAGGATGAGCCTCCCCAAACAACCCTGCATGGCCCCGCCCACACTCTGCCCCAGATTCCCTCCTGCTTTCCAGCACTCTGTGGCTCTTCCCCCATGGCCGGGGCCACAGGCTGGAGCTAGTGGGGGCCAGCCTGCAGCCAGGAACTCCGGGTGGCTGGAGCTGGTGCTCGCACTGCCCACATGGCGTTCCGGGCCTGGGGGCACTCAGGTGGCCTGGGGTGTGTGTGTGTGGCCTTTGGGCTCTGGTGGGAGAAGGGGGCGGGGCCTCAGGTAGAAGGGGCAGGCCGGGGGCTAGCCGCCCCGAGCCCACGGTTCACCCACCACCCATGTTTGGCAGGCTAGGGAAGGCAAATCCAAGCATAGGTGGAACATATCAGCAAAATGTCTCTTGCAGCCCCCACACTGCTCATGAAAGGAATACAGGCTTCAAGCAACCAGGAAGCTGCACATTTTCTGCTCTACCAGCCACAGCCTTGTTCCTTCCAGACAACCTCCACCCCACCCATGCCCCTCCCCCACCTTGTTTGCTTAAATCACATTTACTCTCCTTAGAATGGTCCTGGGCTGTTTGAAGTGCAGGCCATTAATCCAAAGCAGTTTTGTTTGTTAAGGATCCAGTTACTGCCGGAGTCACCAGAGCAAGCGGAGAAGGGTGCTCCAGAACTCGGACATACCAGCAGGCTTCAGTAATTTGCTATTTATGTATTGGTAAAACAAACATGTAACCTCAGCAGTACATGTGTAGTCTGCTGGCCTCGCAGCTCTGTCAAAGGAGTAGACTTGGCAGCTTGGTGTCTGACTGGAAAATGGGGCTCTTGAGTCTTTTTGTGTTTCATGTTAATGATGCAGGTTTTTCCTTTTTATGACTCCCTCAGTGAACAGATGCGTGCTTAGATATGTACACACCTATCGATCTGCTAGATGTTTCCCAGGGCTATTAAGCGTCTTGCAGTAAATCTCCTCTCCCGTCCCCAAAATATCTCAATCAGCCGCTTCTTTTCTGGGTTGTAACTGACTAGCTGTCCCTTGAGTGTCCCCAGGAACATGGAGGAAATGGAAAAAAAGCACAGTGCCTCAGAGTCCCATCTCTAGCATTCTTTGCATGTAAATTTGTAAACTTGTTCCAACTCTAGACATGCCAGCTAGATGAGTTAAATACAGTTCTGCTCTGAAAATGGCACCATGGGGCTCCATGTTAATTGTGTCCATGACTTGAAATCAAATCTACACAGCTGGCAAGTAAAGAGATGGCTTTCCTACCAGCCCTGCACACTTCCCCATGCTGTCTCTGGCTCACTCTTCATCAGCAACGATTTTCCAATGGGATGCTACTGAGATAGTGGTGCAAGAGCCAGACTAGATTCCAGCTCCCCCTCTCAGAGCTCCTAGCAGTAAGACGGAGTAATCACTTGTAGTGTGTAAAGATTTCTGGCTCTGAATACCCACAGGGAGAAGGCTTATTGAGTAAGGCGGGGCTGTTTTGACACGTCCCTTTTCAGGGTAGAAATGCCCTGTTAGTTGCTTTTCAGTGGACT